TTTTTTGGGATGATGTTGCATTTTATTTTGCATAACGAATGTAGAGTTGGTATGCAAGTTCATATACATTCGTTATATGATGATTTTCTCATAACGAATATGGATTCGTTATCTGATTATTTCATAACGGATGTAGATTTGTTATCTGACGATTATTTCATAACGAATGTACTTTCGTTATAACATATCTCAATGTTTCATAATGAATGTAGTTTCATTATGACATAATGAATGTAGTTTCGTTATGCTATATCCCAATGTAGTTTCTTTATGATATAACCCAATGTAGTTTCGTTATGACATATCCCAATGTAATTTCGTTACTACATAACGAATATAGTTTCGTTATGATATATCTCAATGTAGATGCGTTATGACATAACGAATGTAGTTTCGTTATGATATATCCCAATGTAGATTCAATATGGCATAACGAATGTAGTTTCGTTATGCCATGTATTTTCGTTATGACATATCCTAATGTAGTATCGTTATGACATAACGAATGTAGTTTCGGTATGACATATCCCATGTAGTTTCGTTATGACATATCCTAATGTAGTATCGTTATGACATAACGAATGTAGTTTCGGTATGACATATCCCAATGTAGTTTCGTTGTGACATAATGAATGTAGTTTCGTTATGACATATGTAGTTTCGAAACCTGTTGTTGAGCCATTTTCCATATCCCAATGTAGTTTCGTTATGACATATGTAGTTTTGTTATCTCATATCTGATGATTATTTCGTTATAACTAAAATAATTGGTCATATATAAATTATAAAGAGTAAGCATAAGAGCATTGTATATTATCTCCTATTTTAGTAACATGTTTTTCCACAATTCTCTTGTTGAAGTAACATATATTTTTTTTGTCGATATTGATTTTAACAAAGATGGTGTGGATACAAGTATGCCACTATGTTCAGTTTAAAAAGAGTATGAATGGCACTTGACGTGGAGATATTTGAATGAAGATGAAGAGAATGTCAATCCTCTTTATGTTCCCGATGACATATCTTTCTTGGAGCTTGACGATGCGGATCTGGATCTCATAGAGTTCGATAGCATTTCACACGTAATAAATTGCTATCATTGAACCCAAGTATGACCAAATTTCCAGCCCCCTGTGAAGATCAACTTTGTTGACAAAGTAAAATGATATATATCTGTTTGTGAAGAACATCCTATTTGCGTAACATTATCGAAAAACATGTTGAGAAAGAAACGAATAATCACAATTTAGAGGTGATTGAAACACTTATATGGGATAATGAAATTCACGAGCGGCTCGAAGGTCAATGGGACAGTATGCTGGAGAATAGAGATAGTTCTGTCGAAAAAAATCTTGAAGTTGAAGATGAAAGAAGAACCACTTTGTTGATAGAATATGCGCGTGAGAATTTTTCAATAAAATATGCTATGGTTGGGAATGCAAGCTATTCTATGAGTCCCCTCCATTGTCCATCTTCCGTGATAATCCCAGAGAGTGAAGATTTGCAACGTAACAATCTCTTTTCAACCAAAAAAGACTTAGTAGATAAACTTTTGTTGATGGTTGTGAAGTACTACTTTGAATTCAGAGTGATAAAATCAACGAAGACCTTGTATGTTGTTGCCTGTATTGAGAGAAATTGTCCTTGGCGTTTGAGGCGTTTGAGAGCAGTGAAGATAAAAAAGTGATGAAATTTTTTAAGTACGTAAGTATATTTGTAATCACACTTAAGCTAATTGGGAAACACATTTCCGAAAAGTATAAAGACGTCAATCGAATTTATAAGGCGAAGGGTATTATTTTCGATTTACAAGACAAGTTCGGGATAATTATTATCTACACAAAAGCATTTATGGCAAAACGTTATGGATGTGGTCTCATTCGAGGTTGCCCAGAAGAAAGTTATATAAACCTCCCCTAATATTGTTACGTTTAGGAGCAAAAAAATCCTGGGATGGTCACTTTCATTAAAACAAGTGCGGATGGTCATTTTAAGTATTTTTTCATGGCTTTAGGGCTGTGCATTCGTGGATTCCGCTCTTCTATCAGAAGAGTAATATCTGTGGATGGACATTCTTGACGGGGAAATATCGTGGTACTTTGCTCATTGCAATATGTCATGATGCAAATATTCAAATTTATCCACTTGTTTGGGCAATAGTAGACTCAGAGAACATTCTTTCTTGGACTTTCTTCTTTGAAAAGTTGAAAGATATAACAGGTGATTCTCAGATATTGTTATAGTTTTAGATGGGGAACATGTATTCCTGGTGCTTTCGATAAAGTGTGTCAACATGCACATCATGGATATTGTAACTATCACTTGGTGAAAAACCTAAAATCTGAGTTTCCAAGGTTGGTATTAGATGCATTGTTTTGGGTAATAGCCGAAGCATACACAATACCTCATTTCGAATACAACATGGCGACATTATGCGTTAAGCGTGAGGATATCCGGACATACCTAGAGAAAGTTGATTTGCACCGATGGGTTGTAGCACATTTTAAAGCAACTCGTTTCAACATAATGACAACAAATAATGCTAAAACGTTAAACTCTTTTCTAAAGCGTGTTCGAGAATTTCCTATCCTTGGTCTAATTGAACATATCAGGGCGGCACTGCAAAAGTGGTTCTACGAAAAATGCAGTAGCTTTCTTACCCCACCATTTGAGCAGAAGATGCACAACAGATATGACGAGTCCAATAGACTAGAAGTGGTCCATGTAACTCTGATGATTTTGCAAGTTGGTGGAAGACATGTAGTTGATCTCGAGGAAGGATTATGTACATGCCGTAAGTTTGAAATGGATTAGTTTCCATGATCACATGCCATTGCCGCAATAAGATTTGTGAATGACTACCACTATAGATTCTGTACTATAATGTATTCGAGCTCTTGTTGGAGTGAGACATACTCTGAACCCATTCATCCTTTGCCCAATGAGACCGATTGGATGGCTGCATAACAAATTATGTCAAGAATTGTGTTGTCGCCACTATTACAACGTCTAAGGGGCAGACCTACATTTGAACGGAAAAAATCAGCAGGTGAGCCTCGAACAAAATCAACTTTAGATGTATTGTCTTCTTCTTCCTCATCTTGAGATGCACTTTTTTCTTCGTATGTAGCTATACCCAATTCCTTCAAGTATGAAGTTTCAACTTCATCACTTAAAGGTTCCCAATGTTCGTCGAACTTGAACCTGATTGTAATATAATTAGTTTTTTCAAAAGTATAAGAATAAATAAGATAAATTATCTATAACCAAAATTTCCTCCGGCATGTTGAAAAGCATTTTAAGTTGCTCGCTTCGTAACTGTTTATCCATTTTCCAAGAAATCATTCTCGGAAGTCGGTCACTACCACTATTTTCGGCATAGTGTCTTTCTAACTCAGGGAGTGCCTCAAATGCCCAAACCTGCTTAGCAAACAAAAAATAAAGTTAAGAATACAACTTACACAAATAAATAAGAAAGAACATAAATATATATTTATATGAAATGTACTATGATAGCTAAGGGAAATCCATGCAAAGAATACGTTATTAAACTTGGATTTTTTTTATTACTGAAAGTGTTCCGCTTGAACAACTTTACAGTGTACTCATACGATAAGTTCTCCCACGGATAGTTATTATACTTTTCTAAATCTTCCACCAAGTGGAAACATTTTTCATCTACAAGAGTCTCGCACTCTGTAGACAAAACAACATGCTCAAGGACCGTGAGAAGCTCCAATTTGTATTTCAACTTTGCATCTTTCTTTTTATCCAATTTTTTAAATTCCACGAACAAGTCATTCCATGTGATCTTCTCCCGCTTGCCCTTGAATAGATGCAAAAGCGAACTTCTTTTTTGTTAGGATCTCGTACGTAACCACATCATCCACAATCTTTAATTCGTTTACAAGAGAAAACTCTTATAACCCGAATCTCGCTTCATTTTCTCCAAATTGGAACCACACGACATATTTTTCTTTTGCGAGAAAACCAAGCGAGATTCGAGTTACAAGAGTTTTCTATTGTAAACGGATTAAAGATTGTGGATGATGTGGCTACGTACAAGATCTTCAAAAAAAGGAGTTCGCTTTTGCATCTATTCAAGGGCAAGCGGGGGAAGATCACACGAAATGACATGCTTGTGGAATTTAAAAAATTGGATAAAAAGAAAATGCAAAGTTGAAATATAAATTGGGACTTCTTACGGTGTTTGAGCAATTTGTTTTGTCTACATAGTGCAAGACTCTTGTAGATGAAAAATGGTTCCATTTTGTGGAAGATTTGGAGCAGTTTAACAGCTTTCCGTGGGGGAACTTATCGTATGAGTACACTGCAAAGTTGTTCAAGCGGAACACTTTCAGTAATAAAAAAAATCCAAATTCGATAACGTATTCTTTGTATGGATTTCCTTTGGCTATCATGGCACTTTTCGTATAAATATATATTTACATTCTTTCTATTTATTTGTGGTAGTTGTATTCTTAATTTTGTTTTCTTGTTTGCTAAGCAAGTTTGGGCATTTGAGACACTGACTGAGTTAGGAAGACACTATGCTGAAAATAGTGGTAGTGGCCGACTTCTGAGAATGATTTCTTGGAAAATGGATAAGCAGTTGCTAAGCGAGAAGCTTAAAAAGTTTTTCAACATGTCGGAGGTAATTTTGGTTACATATAATTTAACTATTTATTCTTATACTTTTGAAAAAACTAATTATATTACAATCAGGTTCAAGTTCAACGAACGTTGGAACCTTCAAGTGATGAAGTTGAAATTTCATACTTAAAGGAATTCGGTTTAACTGCACACGAAGAAAAAAGTGTCTCAAGATGAGGAAGAAGAAGACAATACATCTAAAGTTGATTTTGTTCGAGGCTCACCTGCTGATTTTTTCCGTTCGAATGTAGGTTTGCCCCTTAGACGTCGTGATAGTGGCGACAACACAATTCTTGACATAATTTGTTTTGCAACCGTCTAATCGGGTCTCATTGGGCAAAGGGTGAATGGGTTCAGAGTATGCCTCTCTCTAACAAGAGCTCGAATACATTATAGTGCAGAATCTGTAGCCGTTGTCATTCACAAATTTTATTGCAGCAATGACATGTGCACATGGAAACTGATCAAATTCAAACTTTCAGCATCTGCATAATCCTTCTCCGAGATCAATTGTATGTCTTCCACTAACTTGCAAAATCATTGGAGTTACATGGACCACTTCTAGTCCATTGGACTCGTCATATCTGTTGTGCGTCTTCTACTCAAATGGTGGGGTAAGAAAGCTATTGCATTTCGTAGAACCACTTTTTTAGTGTCGCCATGATATGTTCAATTAGACCAAGGATAGGAAATTCTCGAGCACGCTTTAGAACAAAGTTTAACGATTCAACATTATTTGTTGTCATTATGTTCAAACGAGTTTCTTTAAAATGTGCTCTAGCCCAACGGTGCAAATCAGCTTTCTCTAGGTATGCACGGATATCCTCATGCTTACCGCATAATGTCGCCATGTTGTATTCGAAATGAGGTATTGTGTATGATTCGGCTGTTGCCCAAAACAATGCATCTAATTCCAACCTTGCAAACTCAGATTTTTAGGTTTTTCACCAAGTGATAGTTGCAATATCCATGATGTGCATGTTGAAACACTTTATCAAAAGCACCAGGAATATTTGTTTCCGACTATAACAAAGATCTGGAGAATCATCTGTTATATCTTACAACTTTTCAAAGAAGAAAGTCCAAGAAAGAATGTTTTCGGAGTCTACTATTGCCCAAGCAAGTGAATAAATTTGAAGATTTGCATCCTGACATATTGTAATGAATAAAGTACCACGATATCTCCCCGTCAAGAATGTCCCATCCACAGATATTACTCTTCTGATAGAAGAGCGGAATCCACGAATGCACGGATGTAAAGCCATGAATAAATACTTAAAATGACCATCCACACTTGTTTCAATGAAAGTGACCATCCCAGGATTTTTCTGCTCCAAAACATAACAATATTGTAGGAGCTTTATGTAACTTCCTTCTGGGCAACCTCGAATGAGACCACATCATTAACGCTTTGCCATAAATGTTTTTGTGTAGCTGATAGTTATCCGAACTTGTATTGTACATGGAAAATAATATCATTCTGTTTATAAATCTGATTAACGCCTTTATACTTTTCGGAAATGTGCTCCCTAACCAGCTTATACGTCACATGCTTGTGATCTTTACGACGCACACTTAGAGAAGTGTGATTACCAACATACTTACGTACTTAAAAAATTTCACTACTTTTTATCTCATTGCTCTCAAACGCCAAGGACATTTCTCTCAATACAGGCAACAACATACAAGGTATTCGTTGATTTTATCACTCTGATTTCAAAGTGGTACTTCACAGCCAACAACAAAAGTTTATCTACTAAGTCGTTTTTGGTTGAGAAGAGATTGTTACGTTGCAAATCTTTACTCTCTGGGATTATCACGGAACATGGACAATGGACGGAACTCATAAAATAGCTTGCAATCCCAACCATATCATATTCTGTTGAAAAATTCTCACGCGCATATTCTATAAACAAAGTGGTTCTTCTTTCATCTTCAACTTCAAGATTTTTTTTGATAAGACTATCTCTATTTTCCACCATACTGTCCCATTGTCCTTTGAGCCACTCGTGAATTTCATCATTCCATGTAAGTGTTTCAATCACCTCTGAATTGTGATTATTCGTTTCTTCCTTAACATGTTTTTCGATAAGTGTTACGCAAAGAAGATGTTCTTCACAAACAAATATATACCATTTCTTTGTCATCAAAATTGATCTTCACATGGGGGATTGAAAATTTGGTCATTGTTGGGTTCAATGATAGCAATTATATTACGTGTGAAATGCTATCGAACTCTATGAGCTTCAGGACAACATCTTCAAGCTCTAAGAATGATATGTCGTCGGGAACATAAAGAGGGTTGACATTCTCTTCATCTTCATTCACATATATCCACGTCCAAGTGTCATCCATACTCTTTTTATCTTAACATAGTGACATACTTGTATCCACGCCATCTTTTTCAAAATCAATATCTACAAGAAAAAAATATGTTACTTCAACAAGAGAATTGTGAAAATACATGTTACTAAAACAGGATGATCAGACTGGTCAACTCGGCCACTGAGTTTTCATTTTGGCTAAATCGTAGATTTTAACACATTTATAACGCATAACATTCATTAATTTTATCGATGTGGGACAAGCACAATTGCAGGTATTTTTCAATTGCTTTGCCGCGCATGGAGTAGCTTTCAATTGCAGGTAGCTTTCAATTCCTATTATTTTATTGCATAAATTTGCGTTAAGTATCTCACAGGTAGACATTTTATATTTTCTTATTTTTTTTTCTATCAATTTATTGCATAACTTTAGGTAAGCCATATAATACTATTAGGTTAGTATCTATGACTATAATTTTTTATTATAATTATATAAATGGTTCATTAGTACTATAATTATTACTTTTTTGTAATTATCCCAATTTTTACTAATAAATAAAACCAAATATTGGTCGGACTAGTATTTAATAATTACGTTACCTCTATTTATAAATATTATATATTTTAAAAAATATTAATAAATTAAATAACAGTCCAACCGGTTCAACCACTGGTCGGACCAGTGAAGCAGTAGTTTGACCGGTTCGATGACCAGTTCGGTTTTCAGAACTTTGAAAATTACATTCGTTATGTCATAATGAAACTACATTGGGATATGCCATAACGAAACTACATTCGTTATGTCATAACGAAACTACATTGAGATATGTCATAACGAAACTACATTGAGATATGTCATAAGAAACTACATTGGTATGTCATAATGAAAGTACATTCGTTATGAAATAATCATCAGATAATGAATCTACATTCGTTATGAGAAAATCATCAGATAACGAATGTACTTTCGTTATTATGCAAAATAAAATGCAACATCATCTCAAAAAATAGAAAAAAAAATAAACGTGAATGACACAAAAAACATGAAAATATGAAACCAAGATGCTTATCAATCATAAAATATGAAACCAAAATGCATATCAAAGTAAAATAATAACAAACACTGCCAACAATTGTTTCTTTCACCTTTCTCTGAAATAAAGAAGTTAAGTGCTTTGTTTTGTTGTTCTTCCACCATGAACACATTTTTTTTGCAATACAGAATTCAAAGTTTATGTGTAATGATCAGATTTTGTTTTCACCTTTTGAAGAGAAGAGCACAACGATACCATAACTTGTAGGATGATGTTAATAATGGGCGGCTTGGAAAACAAGGCACTTAAAAACGAGGTGAGGAAGCTGAAGAGCGCAATTGAGAAATGTAAATCGGATAAGAACACCGAGATTACTGCCCTCTTGGCAGAGAAGAAATTTGTTTGGCATCAACTGAAAAAAACGGAGGACGTCTTGGAGAAAGAAATAAAGAGAAAAGACGAAGAAGTTAAGTACGCAAATGAAAAGCTTCGACAAATAGTAAATACGGCAGAAGAATTACAGCTCTCACATGAAAATTTACGAACCACCTTCGCCCGGCTGGAGGTCGAGTCGGTTAGAAGAGTGAGGAAATCTTGAGACTTTCTAAGGAAATCAAGCTCCTCAAATCCAGGTCTGACCCACCTTCAACTTTTGTCTAATGGCGGGCTAAATGGCTCTCCAGCTTCGAGTTTGAATTAAGATATGTTTTAAGTACAGGGTTTCTTTCGGGTGTCAATGGACCATTCAGTAAGAATTGTTTCTCATTTGTCTAATAGTGCTTATTTTAAAATTCATTTGGAAATGGTAGTTTCGAAATGTATTATGGTTTTTAATTTCTCCATAGATGGTCTGTTATTGTTTCGGTACCGGAAAAATCTCTGGATGCTTGTGAATCGAAAATTCTTTTTGTGGGCCCGGTTTTGAATTTTCTTTCCTGAACCCGACAAAATATAAAATCCGTTTTCACTTGACAATAGTGCTTCAATTAAGCTGCCAATCTGTACTCTTATCTGCAGATAACCCAGAGAAAGCAAAATGCTTGTAAGTCGGCAGAGGGAAAGTTCCCAAGGAAGCAATTCGTCACGAAGGTTAAATTTTTTTATTTTCTTTCCTCTTACTTACATCATTATTTTCCATTTGGGGATTTAACAAAGTTTAAGATTTTTATTTTTTTTCTTAAGTTCCAACAAATTAATTAGCTTTGGTGGAGTTCTTAAAACTTGACTTATCGATTTGTGCAGGGTAGCAACAGTAGTAGTAGGAGTAGTTCAAAGAGAAAGGCAGTGGGAGTTATTACTATTCAAGATTCCCCGAAGTTGTTCAGATCCGATTTCAAAGTCCCTAAGTTGAAGCCTTCGAAATCTCCAAAAAATGTTTGAATTTTCCCCGACATGCTTTTCCAGCGGGTCAGTTTTAGAAGATTTTTTCGTGTACAATTTTACTTTCCCCTTTTTAATTTGCAAATTTGCGTATCGTAATCATCTAATTCTTCATCGTTGTATATGCAACTGACAATGAAAGGTTTGAGTACAGTTTTGAACTTTAGGTTCAGCAATTTTTAGTTGCCAATGTTCTAAACTACTGTGTAATTCTGGGAGAACTCAAAAGTATTTTNAGCTTGAGAGTTTCTTATTGCAGTTGCATATGAAATGAGCAGTCATTTTATCCAAATAAAAATGTGAGTCAAATCAATTTTCAATATGAAAAAAAAGCTGAACTTTCTCATAGAGCATTACCAACCCTCAGAAACACGATTAATGCTTAAATCTTGAATATTGAAGTAAGACGGCCTTATGTTTAGACCATTGGATCAGTTTAAATGTGATGAATTTGTGTTCGGATAGTTTTATTAGAAAAGAGATAATAACAGTGATCGTTTAGACAAACATTAAACATTTATTTATAAGCACTACAGAAAATCAGAAAAGCAAGAAACTAAAATGACAGTAACTACCCAAAATTACATAAAATAATTTGGATTGGTATTGTAACTAAAAAATGGTAAACTAAAAAACAACCCTTATAAAAATTTTCAATTTGCTAATGCATATTAACAATAAAAAATGTAACAACCACTATTAAATGTGATGGATTCGACATTAAAATTTGTGAGAAAATTATGGTTCCCAATATGCACTTATTCTTGATTTGTTTTTCCAAGTAAATAAATGTGACATTTGTTAGATGTAAGATTTACAACCGAATATCAAGGTGATCGATTGGGCATTTAGTGACAATTTCGATTGAGCATTTAAGAAGAAATTATTCAAAATATAACTGCTAATATTTTAATAATTACAGATTTATCTTGTCAAACATGTGATCAATTGGGCATTGAAAATTGGACTGAAATTATCAAATTGATCACTTGTTCACCAGTTTCCCTTTTCGGAATATGCATTTTTGTTAAATTCATTTTTACCTTTTCATAACTTAAAGGAAATCAAAGTAAAAAAAACCCGAAAGATTGTGAAATTAATTTGGTAACCGTAACAGATTTCACATTTATATGTCTGAGTAAGTTATGGTTTCCAATAAGTAGCTTTTTATTTATTTTGTCAATTAATTAAATGTGAAATATGAAACATGTAGGGGTGATTGTTTATGAATTCAACTAGTTTTTATTTGGTGATTTTAAAATATAGTTAATTTTTGAAAAAAGAATGGTATGATTAGTTGTTAGTGTATATATTAAAATAATATTTAAATTAAATAATTAAAATTGATTTAATGTAAAGTAGGAAAAAAATGATTGGAAGCCATGGTTAGTTAAAATTATATGAGTGAATGAATAATGAATTAAAGTTGATGTGATGCTAACTTATAATATGTTAATTAAGCCCATTTTTTTTTTTTTCACCATTAGGCCAAAAAGTTGTCTTTTTTATTTTATTTTATTTGTTTTTTGTCTTTTCATGCTGTAGAAAAAACACATTACTCTTTGTATAATATGGGTTTTAAATTTTAATTGACTCAATTATTCGACATAAATTACACTTTATTTAACTTCAATAAACTGGATGGATGACAAACGACTGGAGTCAAATACTGTTTTTATCTGAGTTTGGGCTTAAATTTTCAGACTTTTGTTTGAGTTTGTTCAATGAGTTGAACATTTTTGTCTCTTCTCCATCCAACAAGAAAGCACAAACGCTAGACATTAGTTCAAACTTTATTCAAAATTGCAATAAATTTTTTACTTCTGTATTTTGTTAATTTCACGCATACTTGAGGGGGTCATCGAGATTCGAATATACAAACTGCAAAACTTGAGTTTGGTTTGAGTTCAAATTCGAGCTGCTCAAACTCGATTTGAGCATGGTGAATTCCAATTCAAGTTGACTGTTGACTCAAGCATCTGCAAGTAGCTCGTGAATCATTGAATTCATTTGCAGCCTTATTAAACATAGTGATTAGTGTGAATTAATTAATTTGTTTATAATCATAATTAGTCCATGATTAAGGAGAATTAGATTTATAGCAAAAAGTCACTCCATCCCACAAGATTTTTTAGGGCAATGATGTACCTTTTATGACCTTTTTTTTTCTTGTGATTTTTGAGAGCCTAATTTTTCTTCACTTCCTACACTATCAAATGACTTGACATGTTTTTATTGGATAAGAAGTAAGGGAATTGTTCCCTTAAAATGGTGAACGGGACCTTAGAATTTCATTTTTAACAATAGGTGACAAGCTATATTTGTGTTATAACTATAAANATGACACAAACTAAAAAGTCATCCATAATTATTTTCAAATACTTTATTGACATGTATTATAAAATAAATTCACTCATGATAAATGTCAATAAATCAATTTATGGATGATTTTATAAAAAATTCATCCACTAGCTATATGAAATTTAAGTTAGATCTAATACATATTCATGTGCCTATTAAAAGTTAGCAAGTACTATCACAAGTGAATTCATATAACCATCAAAGTGTCGAAATTTTTGTTACCTCTCATAAAAGATTTACTAATGCAGGTAGATATAAAAAGTAAAGAAATTAGAGTTTATGTTTGGGTTTTGTAATCGATTTTGGAGAAAAAATACCAATAATTTTATTAAAATTTTTCTCCTCTTTGTAAATATATATATACTAGTACAACACCCGTGTATTACACGGGTGCTTGTTAAAAGTTATTCTTAAATTTTAAAATTAATGAGAAAAATTATTTTAAATTTTATTTACTTTTTTACAAAATATATATATTATTATATATTTTAGAATGACACTTGTTACTTGTGAGACTTACATGTGTTATATTATAGTAATTTTTATAACTTATATCATATAACTACTTGATACATAAATATATATATTGATAAATAATTTATTTTTCTAATGAATATTAAAAAATAATTTTATTATTGTTATAAAGATAAATATAATTTATTTTTTTATACATACAAAATGGATGTTAAATCGAAACTCATCAATAGATAATTAATTTGATATATTATATATGTAAAACTGATAAAAAAATACAAAATTTATTAACTTTTAAAATATATTTACATGGTTATAATAAGAAATGATATTAAAATGCAATTAATACATGTAACATGACCATAAATAATCAACGAAGCATGTAAATTAAAATCTATCCAAGCCTAACAACGAAGCATGTAATTTTGCCACATAGGATCACGAAGCATGCAAGTCAGCCATTTAGAGTCAAGACGTTTTGAATTAATATATTATTACTAGGGGAGGGGATAGGGGCCAGGGGGATATAGATGATGAGCAAACAAAGTCCACGAAAACCTAAACAAAAAGAGAATTTATTGAATATGATAGGTAGAAAAGTAAAAGCAATCAAATAAAAAATGGAAAAAAAATGCAAGTTGCAACAATAATTAAATTGATGTTTTGTTAGAAAAGCATGCCACCCACCGGGAACGTTTGAGCTGAAAGTCAGATGCTACACCAATCGCTCAAATTTACCCATTTATTTTTATTCTGAAGTGACCGGAATTTGGTGAATGTCACGGCCAGCTTGAACTGGAACAATGACTAAACAACTGTCTCTTTTAAAGAAAGGATTTGATAGTAGTTAGGTGATAGATAGTACTCTTAAAAACTGGTTATCATTTGAAATATAAACTAGAATGGGGAAACTCGAAGAAGAGGAAAAGACAATACAGAAAAATGGGAAAGTTTTATAAATTGTCTAATAATAGCATCCGACTTTTTTTTTTTTTTCATTGAAGTGGCTCATATTTATTTTGCATGTACTAATTAATTTTTGGTATTGGATATGTTTGTATTTACTTATCTTCCGAAGAATGACAAAAAAAACAATGCAAATGAACAATGATAACAAACGGCTCAAATTAAACTACGAACAAAATTCTCGAACAAATTCTCATAAAGAATTCAAATAATATACAAATTTGAGGTACGTGAAATACGCTCTCCGTAAGACGAAATTTTCATAAATATTAGCCAACGGTCTTCAACAAAGATCTCCAAGATACGGACAACTTTTATTAGTGATGAATCTAGGATTTTTACTCCGGAGGGTCCAATTTTAAATACAAAATAACGAGCTTGTAGTGTAAGTTAAAACACATTTCATATAAAAATGTGTTTACTTATAAACATAAATATCAATATATGTATCAAGTTTTAAAAAATTTAGAATCTATATCACCATCAAAATTTTATAAAAATAAACAAAAAATAATAGATTTCATGTACTTATAATTTAATTTCAACATCTATAATTTATAAAAAATTAAGTTTTTTGATTTAAATTTAACATTTACAGCACGTTGCATTGCACTTTTGTTGATTAGAGCTTATCAAATGATCACTTTTTTTAAGAAAAAAATAAATAAAATTTAAATATGTGATTGCACAAAAAAATAAAGTAAACAATAAACATTCAAAAATCTAACAATCCAACTAAATACTTGGTTTTCTAAATCACTAAGTGGCTGAAAGAGTAAAATCATTATAAATATGTTTAAAAAATATCTAATAATGTAAAATATAGGGATCATTAGTATATTTTTCAATATAGAAACTAAATTTTAATTATTTATATTAATTTAAATTAAAATATCATAGAAACTAAGTTTTAATTATTTATATATATATATTGATATTTAAAAAAAATGAGGGGGGTCCATGGTGGCTCTCCCTGGACCCCATGTGGATCCGTCTATGACTTTTATCTTGTGTATAATGGTACTTCAAAACCAAAAGATTACGACAGACTTACTTACACTTTAAAACTCTCAATATATGAAGAATGAATAATGAACACAAGATAAACATGAACTATCTCATGTATTATATCAATTTCATGTCCTTAATGTTAAGTTCTCTTGTCTTGATTAATTTCAAGTCATAGGGTATTCATAGATGTATGTGGAATCTCCATAGTTTCATGGAACTAAAAGACACATTTCGAAACGTGCACGATTACATCTTAGCTTTTTTTTTTTCTTATTTGTCCACAAAAAATCTTTCTAGAGTTCTAGCGTATCATTTGTATGATTACGTCTCGTTTGGCTTGTGAAAATATTCATAAAAGACTAAACTAATGCGAATCCAACAATCTTTGTGTTACTTAAACTCAAATT